GGAAGGAAGGAAGGAAGGAAGGAAGGAAGGAAGGAAGGAAGGAAGGAAGGAAGGAAGGAAAAGAATATCAGAAATGAAGAAGAAAAAAAACCAAAACACAACCTCTGGGAACTTTTTGTCTTGTTTGAAAAGATTGATGGACATGGCCAATGTGGCCAACAGCAATCTCCCAGGTGGGGGAAAGAGGGGGGCATACAGACTCACATATATTTTCTGTGTGGGGGGAGGAAAAAGAGAGAGAGAGAGAGAGAGACACTGACAACAATTAAACCCCTTTGCTTCTCCCTCCCCCCGCAGCCCCGCAGTTCTCTTCCAGAGTTGACCAGTGCTGTCCATCTGCCCGTTCTTCTGATGTTGGGAGGAGTTGCTCGCAAAAGTGGCTTAGCTTGTCAACACTCCACCATCTGGCACCTAAAAACTTGGTGGGCAAAAGGCCATCCTGGAACCTTTGAAGTCGGAGGGAGGTGTCACTGGGAGAGTCCTCCTGTGGGGAAAGGAGTGTAGGGAAGAAGGAGCGGTGGAAGGAGAAGCACGGGCCAAGTGGTCCATGCGTGTTCCCTCTCGGAGGAGAGAGAGCGATGTGGCAGTGCAGAAAGCGGGCCGTGTGCCATTGGGGAAGGAGGACATTCTTGAGTGCAGGGGAAGTCCGAAGTGAGGGCGCAGCAGGGCCCCGACGCTCCGTGAATCCTGTGCCCGTAAACCAGGAAGTGTCTTCTCCAAGGTCACCAAGCCTAAGAACTGGAGTCCTGCAAGAACCACAGAAGGAGAAAGGAAGCCCTGAAGTTGTCTGGAAGGTTTCCAGGTTGAAGGAGAGGAGATTTCCTTGCTTGATTGGTGGTAAAATGGGCCCGGGGAGTTGTCCCTTGTCTCTGGAGAGCTTTTGGCTACCTTGGTGGCCTTGTTGGAGAAGGATGTCCAGTCTAGAGCTGTGCTTTCCAACGTTGGGAACTTTGTGGACTTCAACTCCCAGAATTCCTCAGCCAGCCATGCTGGCTGAGGAATTCTGGGAGCTGAAGTCCACACTTCTTAAAAGTTCTCAAGGTTGAGAAATTTGGGGAGGTGGGAAAGACAATTGTGGAACAAAGCTCTTGTGGTTGACCGAGAACAAACCGTAAATTGAAGTGGCTTTTTCTGACTCAAATTCTTTTCTGGATTTGGCAGCGCACTCAATGGTAAGCTCACCAAACTTCAAAAATTGCCACAACTCAGCCACAGGATGTCTCACTTTCAGCTTAGGCCCTGCAGCTCCTAAGTCTGTAACTGAGATGATCCAGTATGTGAAGTGGATCCAGCCCTTGTGAAGTTGGCATGAGGAATCTGCCCCTTTGGCTGAGGAATGACAATCTGGGCATGATGAAGGAGGATAGTAAGGGGAAATGGTTGGCAGAAGCTATGGTGGGACTTCTGGCATGGACCTCCTCTTTTGTCTCGAGTTACTAGCTCTCATGGGCCATTCTTCCCCAACAGGAGGCATAATTTTTCAATCATTTCATGCTCAATCTCAAGAGGAGCCTAGGACCTTCTTCTCCTGTGCCACAGCCAACTCACCATGGCCAATTCACCGTGGCCAACTGGCCACAGCCAACTCACAATGGCCAGCTCACCATGGCCAACTCACCATGGCCAATTCACTGTGGCCAACTGGCCACAGCCAACTCACCATGGCCAATTCACCGCGGCCAACTGGCCACAGCCAACTCACCATGGCCAACTCACCGTGGCCAACTTACCAATTGCCCAACTCACCATGGCCAACTTGCTGCAAGACAACTCACTGAAGGACAAGAGTTATACTAAGATCAAAGAAATGGTGGAAGGGACTCATTAAAGGATACAAAAGGAGTGACGAAAATGAAAATAGTTTTTCATTTATTTTAAATAATTAAATCAAACGGTTAAATTGTCCCACGGCGAGTTGGCCATGGCGAGTTGGCCCATTCCATCTCCAGCTGTTTCTTCCGAAGAGACTCCAAACTGTTGTGTCCATGATACTCACTTCCCCTCTGATGTCGGCAGAGAGTTCGGACTTTCACATGTAGTGCCACTGGCCCTCCATACCCATCGTCATTCCCATTGGTCCTAGAGGAAGAGGAGAAAACAGAGGGTTAAAACCTTCCTACGAACGATGACCCCCATCGCCATCCTCACTCCCCTTAAGGCATCTTTCTAAGGTCAGGTCAACCAGTTTTCCTATCCCTCAATGGCTTAAGATCACAAGCTTTTTCAACCCAACAGGGATCAAGGGAGGGCAACTCAAGGGATCTGCTTGACCCACGTTGACTTGGTAGAACTTCAGAGATGATCTTCATGCAAGTTCTCAGCCGGTCTGATTTGGCCTAGAGGCCATGATGTCCAGGTGGGCACTTCAAAGTCCACCTTTCAAGGAAAATGCTACTTGGTGAAGGACCAATTCTTACATTGGTGTCCAGAGGGTGGGTTTAAAAGAGTTGAGATGATGGCCAAGTTATGTACAACAACACACACACACAAACACACAGACACAAAGAGATGAGACTTGATTAGGTTGTCACCATCTTAATGTTTGGTACCTTTTCCTCATTGTCCATGGTAGACCCCTCTAGGCATCTGCTAAGAGGTTTTATTTTTGACTAGCTCGATACCCGTGCTTTGCTATGAAACTATGTGGTCGGGCTTAGATTTTGGGGAGGAAAAAAAGGGGGGGAATTGTGCCTCTGCCTACTAGCATCCATCGGTATTCATCTGGCTAGCGTCCTGTCGGTGTGTGAGAGCTGTTTGGAAACTGAAGCAGTATTTGCTGTGTGAAGAAGGAGGAGAAAGTAAGGAGTCTGGGTGTGGCTTAGCTCAACTGTTCTACACTAAAGTTGCTTGGTGCTCTGAAAATGAAACTCCTCTGCTTGTGTTTTGCATTTGGAACGGATTTCTTTTCGGGTGGGGAGGAGGAGTAGAACTCCTTAGCATCAGAGCGTGTTAATAATAATAATAATAATATAGGAAATACAAATGCTCTGATGGTCATTTCGAAAAATCCTTTCTTAGTGAGCACCTAGAAGCCAAGAGAAACATATGTGTCAAATTTCAAATTTGTAGGCTTTACGGTTCTGGAGATTTTGTGATGATGCGTGAGGGGTATTTCGCTTTTATATTAATATTTCATTCATTCAGATCTAGGATGTCTTATTTTTGTGTTCCCTTTATTTTTTTGAGCAGTGTATATAGATTTTTTTTTTAGCAGATCTATCCCCTACCAACATTCTTTGTTCACTGTGGGGCATTTTTTACCCAAAACTGGAACTAAATCCTGGCCAAAAAACCTCCTCAGTTTTAATCACGTGACCAGGGGACGTTGCAAGCGGCCACAAATACAGGCAGATCGCTAAGGCATCTGAAATATGGTCCTGTGGCCACCAGGAAGGGGGACACTGGCTGCAGGAACTTCAGAACTGGATCGTCACTACTTTTTGGCGGATCCATTGCAACTTCAACGGCTCCCTGTACTGGATTATACTTTGGGTAGTGTAGGAGACGAGCCGATAGAGCCAGGGGGTGGAGTTAAGGGAGTTATCAGCCTAGAATCATTACGTTCCCACAAATGGTCTCAGTCCAACCCCTCTGGAATTCTGCTGACTCTTATCTGGAGCCAATTTAGCATTGAACATTAGTTGACCAGATTCTTGTATACAGGCCTGAGCGACAAATTTTCTTAACTGCAACTTAAGTATGGTTCTTTGAGCCTGACAGGTGGGACACCCCGCCCCCCACTGCTCCCTCTTTTCACACCAAGCCCCCCGCAACCAAGGATATTCCTTCTGGAAAAGAAAAGTAGATTGGGCTACCGAGGTTAACCTTTGCCGAAGAGCTGTGCAATTCCGGCTCACCTGGAGGATGAATTGTCATGCGCTGTTGCCCATCCATAACATAACCTCCCATTTGCTGCCTGTCGGGACTATACGGTGTACCTTGACCTGCTCAGAAGAGAGGAGGGTGACAGAGAAAAGAGACCAAGTAGAGATATAAGGCTATCCAATTTCTGTAGATATTTAAAACAGAAAGGAGTTTGGGTTGGCTGGGGCATAGGGGTGGGGGCATCCAACTGCCTCCTGTTTGGAACGTTCCCCAAATCAAAGCACGTTTGGTCTAGTTGGTTAAGGCACCAGGCTAGAAACCGGGAGACAGTGAGTTCTAGTCCTGCCTTAGGCATGGAAGTTGGCTGGGTGACTTTGGGCCAATCACTTAAGAGACTGGGAGTTTTAGTCCCGCCCCAGGCATGAAAGCCAGCTGGATGAGTTTGAGCCAATCACAAGGAGACAATGAGATCTAGTCCTGCAATACACATGAAAGCCAGCTGGGGGAACCTTGGACCAATCGCCAGGAGACTGGGAGTTCTAGTCCACCTTAGGTGTGAAAGCCAAGTGGGCGACTTTGGGCCCAAACCTTTCTCAGTCCAACCCGCTTCACAGGGTTGTTATTATGGGGGGGGGGGGAGAAGAAGGAGGAAGGCGTATTATTGCCATCTTGAGAGAAATAAAATTAAAAAAAAATAAGTCATTAAAATCTCGGCATCTTTTTGGCTTCTGAAAGTGGCTGGACAGTATGTGGTTGAAAAGGAGCATCCTGAGAAACCTATAGAGAGAGTGACTTCTTTCTGCAGACCCTTTGTAGAATGGAATCTCTCCCCTACCTGTGCGATTTGATTGGTCGATCATAGGTTGTACTATGCGCCTTCGGGCATTAATAAACCTGCAGGAGATATAAGGAAAAGGATGTTCCACTAGTTAATTGTTCTCACTGCTGAAAGCTGTGTGTATACCTACACCACAACATATACCGTTTCCCCGAACATACAAACTACCCTGAAAGTAAGTCCTAGCTTGATTTTTACATGTGCACCCAAAATAAGCCCTAGTTAAGATCTCACCCACTCCAAGGTGCACGGGTAAAAATTAAGCTAGGGTGGGATGGGGGTGTGTGTGAAGCTGCCCTACTACTTACCTTTGGACAGTTGTAGCCAGGTCTCGCACACCTGCCTTGCCAGTTCATTTCTTCTGCTGCCAGCAAGGCTGGCAAAGCTTTCCTGAAGGCCTCTGTAGCTGGTAAGAAAGCTCTGGATCGATCCAGAGCTCTGTTATTGGCTGCAGAGGCCTTCAGGAAAGCCTTGCTGGCTACAGAAGCAGCAGCTCCTGAAGGCCTCTGACAGCGAAAAGGAGAGCCGGGGTTGACGCGTGCAAGCAAGGTTAGTCAATGGATGACATCCCTGAAAATAAGCCCTGGTGCCTCTTTTTGGTGGCAAAAAAATTTAAGACAGGGTCTTATTTGGGGGCAAACACAGATTGTAGAATCCATGATGTGCCAAATCAAGCATTAGAAAAGAATTTAATTGATGGAAAGAGCCAAGATGAGCTCCGAGGGAGCTGGAAGAAATGGCTTTGTTCTTGAGAGCATCTGCAGATAATTTTCATGTTGCTGCTCCCATGTATGCACTCCAATGTTCAGTGTATCTTGCACAAATGTGGGAATCGTTTGTTTTTGTTTTTACCTGGGTCTTATTTTCAGGGAAATACGGTAAGCGCGTATAAATATTAATCCCTGTCCATCTTGAATGTGTGGCAGAAAGAGGAAAGGTGTGAATTCACAAGGTTGATGCTGTGTGAAACCAAACTGTGATTGAATCTGGATGTTCTGCTTCGGGTACCACGAAGTCCCAGAGGGTAACAAGGAAAACAGGTCATGTGAAGAGGAATGTGTAGCATCCCAGACAACCCTGTGGACAGACCCTGCTGGAGCACTGCTTATGTGCCATGTCCTGGATAGAACAATGATCTTTTCTGCCGTCCTCACCACTCTCTGCATGTGTTGTGGTTAGCTGGCAGCAGGTGCGGATGGCCGAGAAGACCAAGGACTCAGGTGAGGTGCCAGGACCATTAGGGAGTGGACTGCTGCCTTCAGAGATTGTGGGGGCTGGCAGCAGTGATGAGGAGGTTCCCGAGGAGCCTGCGCAAGTACATGCGCATGCAGGGCTGCTCGCAGGAAAGAGCAGCTGCAACAGCACGGGTGACTCGAGAGTAAGGCTGCAAGGTAATGGCCCCTCCTTCAAGAAGATAAAAGTCAACTGTGAATGGGACGTTCTTTGCAGGAAGCAAAGACATTTTGAAACACAGCCTCGTGGACCTTACAGTTGTTATTTGAAGACTCTTGTGCTGTGAAATATTTCTTATCTATTGTTTTTTGGCAGTCTTGCACATTTTTGGTGAGGTTTGCGCATATCAAAGTTAATTAGTTTGCAGCAGCCTTTTAACCAGGGATTTGTAAGACTCATTAAAAGGTTTCTGTTCCCTTTAGTTATTGTTTGTCCTGTTGGAAAAGGGTTTGGGTCAGAACAGTAACCTCGGGCAACTGGAAGATGTACGGACTCCCAATTCCCAGAATTCCCTGCTCGTTATGTTCCCAGAATTCCCCAGCCTCTACCTCTACGTTCAGCAGGTCTTACATCCACAAAGCGAGGCATTCGTGACAAAGGGAGCTTTACAAGCGGGGGTAGGGCGGATGAGACACAAATTCGGCCACTGGAATATTTCCTATTTCTTGCCTTCTCACTCTCGAATTCTTACCAGTTGTTGACTTGAAGAATGGTGAGTCCCGTGTCCTGGGCCAACTGTTTCTTCTGTTCTTCCGAGGGATAAGGGTGCTGCACAGACAAAAGAGAGAGAGGAGAGCGGTGGTGGGATTCAACCGGTGTAACAACCGGTTCAGTGAGTGTGAGTTTTGCACACGCAGCCTTTTAAAAATGCCCCGTTTTCAGCTCTATGACTTACTGTTAGGATTCCGGCAGTGACTGCCCCAATTAAATCATAAGTCTCGAGCCAAGCTTCCAAACTTCAAAAAGGATTTATTGGGAGTTAAACATGTCTGGCACTGCCTGGGTGCAGCCAACTCTGACTCAATTCATTGTCACTCTTGACCCTGGTTTCCCCTGGGTGTATTGTAATTCATATTCTCCAATGGGACACATCCATAGCCAAGAATCGTCAATCATGCTCTCCAGTTAGATATGTGCATGGTAGAAACTTCAGTTGCCTAGTTACTATCTACGAAAACATTCATAGTTTGGGTTTGCAAGCTGCCGCATTGCGCCCCCCCTCCCTTTCGGCTGGTAACTCTAAAAAGACCTTGGAAATATTTTATGAGTTGACCCTTACTTTCTATTGCAGCCCCGGTGAGCAAAACAACTGATGCGCGGCAATCCTCTGTGCCGCGTGTGAATCAGCTGGGCTGCAAAACACAGAAATCGGCCCAAACCAGCAGAATCCCACCCCTGGAGGAGAGGATATTCTCCAAACTTTGACCCAACTCTCTTTGCCCCCTGGGTATCAGAACCGAAGGCAAAAAAAAAGTGCTTTCAAAACGCTAATATTTATATTATTACGACTCTTTTTTTTTTTAAGCCACAGCAAAGATATATAGATATATTTCCTTCCTTCTTCCATCATTCCGTATCCTTGCCTTGTCTTCCGAGGAACTTGGGATACCGTGTATGTGGAAGACACAACAGTCCTGCAGAGAAGTGTGTCCTGGAAAGAGAATGATGGGCCCCCGAGTTTTTCTTATGTAGAAAAAAGGGAGGGAGGGAGGGAGAAGAAAAGGAGAAGGAGAAGGAGAAGGAGAGGGAGAAGAAGAAGAAGAAGAAGAAGAAGAAGAAGAAGAAGAAGAAGAAG